TTTTTACAAAAACACTTATTTTCTCGTGCCACATATTTATTTCCAAGATTAGTTACAAAAATTGACACAATTCATAAAAATCTTCAAGGAGTTTGTTACTTTACTTCTAACTTAAACAATTTTGAATTTCAAATATTTAAATTTTTTTAAAAAATTCTCATGATTCACAATTTTTTAGTAATCTCTAAAACATCCCGTTTGTTTAGCAAATTCAAATAAATTCTAGATTCTTAGAATTCTTAATAGTATTCCAAAAAACCTCAAAACTCTTCTAACTCCAAATTTGTTAAGATTTCTATAATTATTGTGCAATCGAGATTAAATGCTTCTAAAAATTCAAAGTCAAAAAACGTTCAAAATTTTAAAGATCATTAGATTCCTACGGTTTCTTAGAATCTTTACAACTTAAGCAATTTGAGTATGTAATTATATAGAATTAAGATTTTTTAAGTAATTCTTTGTATTTTGCTAAAGATCTTGAAAACCTTAACTTCAATCGTTAAAAAAATGGTAAATATTTGTAATTTTGAAGATTCTTCAAAATACTGAAATTGCTAAAACTCTAATCAAGAATTTTTAATTTAAAAAGACATATTTTTTCGTGCCCAAAAATTATAACAATCCAAACTTTTGAGTTCCAAATATTTTGGAAATTCCCAACATTTTTTAGGTTTTTCAGAATCTCTAGGATTCTCATGATACTCATTTTTTAATGTCTAAAACACCCCGACTGTTTATATCAAAATTTTGAGAAATTTTGGGATTTAAATAAATATTTCTGGAAAAAATGGAAATTCTAAAAACATTCAAAATTCTTAAGATTTATTAGACTCCTGCGGTTTCTTGGAATTACCAGTTTAGAGTACCCTAAAATATTAACAGAAGCTCAAGATTCTGAGAAGTAATACTAAATTCCTATAGTTTCTTGTAATCCCACAATACAACATACCTAAGGTATCCTGAAATTCTCAGAAATTTCAAGTTTCCGATTCTAAGTTAGAAAATTATGACAATTTTTAACAACCTCAAAAAATTTACCTTAAATTTCGGAAGTTTCTGAAATTCCCAAAATATCTTTAGGTTTTTCAAAACTTTGTGAAAAAATCTCTAAAATATTCCGATTTTTCCTCAAAATTCAAAGAAATTATTATTTTAAAAATTCTTGAGACTTTTTTCATACATTCACACAACAAAAAGTTTCAATTTTTGAGACTACTTCCCCCACAAAATTTCACCCAACAAAATCTTTCAAGTTTCTGGGATTCATCCAATCAGATTTAAAATATCTCAGAAATTTGTTTTGTTTTTTGACAATTTTTTTATTTTTTCATAACGAAAATATTGTTTTTGTAAATTTGTTCATGCCGAATTGGTTCTAATTTAGTCTCGTGCACTAGGGAAATTAATATTGATAATTTCTTCACGGAAAATTTAATCAAAAAATTGTAAAAAAAAATAAAAAAGGAGACTTACTTGAGCAATGCCTGTACTCCAGCCTCACATGCGCCCCCGCAAACTTATCAATCGGTAGCGTCAACCTCACATTTTCGGCCCAAGCTGGCGAATTATGATGATAAATAATCATAGAATTATACTCCGAAGCCCCATCTTGCCCCGAGGCCCCCCAAAGACAATTCTTGATAACATTTTTCTCACTATCAAGAACCACAATCGTCACTTCGATATTTTTCCCCGTCGATTTACCCCCCCTTTCAAACTCCCCCTTCTCCAGAATCAAATACAAATCATTCCTGACATCCCCCGGCATAATCACATCGGGGAACCCCAATTTGCTCGTCAAACTAACATTCTTAAACAACATTGCGTTCTCCTCCTTGATATGATTGAGCCCCCCGTGGAGCATCTTCACCGAGGTGAGAATCCCATAATTGGGGGCACACGCAAGCGAGTTGTACTTCCCCGACTGTCTTATAATAAACTCGTGCAATTGGTGGAAATCCTTCTCCTCGCCTTGGTACACCTTCATGTTGAGCTCCTTCTCCTCGGAGTCGCCCTCTTTGGGCATGAGGTACTCCCCCAGGTTGTGCACGGCGACCCCATGGGGTCTTTTGAACACCTGTTGTTGCAAAATGGCGTTTTTCTCGGTCTTTTTGTTGTCCGAATAGATCATTTTCCCGATTCGCATCACGTGAGCCACGAGGTAGATGTCGCGACTCAAGTCGGAGTTTCCCAAGTCGGTGAAAACCGTACAATTTGAGTGGAGTTTTTCCACGTAATTCGAGAAACCCTCTTTGGAGATTTTGACTAGGAAACGTTCGCTGATGTAGCGCTGTTTGGAGGCGTCGTAGAGGGAGAAGTAGATTTCGGTGTCTTCGCCGATGTGGTGGCCGAAGTCGCGCATGCAGAAGTACAAGTGGTGGGTGAGGGTCTTCTTCGGCTCCTTTTTCTTGATGGTGCCGCGCGCCTAAAAGGGGTGTCACCGAAATCGAGAAAAAGAGAATTTCGGGGAATCAACAGTTTGATTCGTTTTCTTTCTCCAAAAAATTCAATTTTTGAAAAATGTGGGGTAATATGTTGTCAATAACTATACTCAAAACAGACAAGAATGACACAAGTGACATAAATATAACCTTAGTTGTGTCCATGACAATGTATACTACCAAAAACGTCATTAGTTAGTTGTTAATGTTAAAAAGTTGCAACTTATATGTTGTCAATAACCATAGTTGGATGCGCGTAAAGTTACATTTAATGATAACTGAATTTTTTCGCCAATAAATTGATTAAATGACCAATAAAAACTTCCAAATTCAAATTCAAGACAGGTATACGTTGTCAATAATCATAATTGGGTGTGCATAAAATTACATCTAAAAATTCAAATTTCCCGCTTATCTTGGAATAGCGGGCTATTTCAAAAATTTTGATACATCAAAAATGACAAAGTTTTATAACTGCTAGAAGGTAACGTAAAAATCTTTGATAATTACTTGTTAAATTTGAATTTCACAAAATGCCCCAAAATGATAATTAATACTCTTAAAACTACTAAAAGAAAGAAAGAATTTGAGAGTTCTGCGTGTTCCATAAGCAAAATTAAAGTTAAAATAATATCTGTTTCGTAACTACACACAAAAATGTTCTCATTTTTTTGTTTTATAATTAATTACTAAAATTAAGTTAAAATAAAAAATAACTATTTTATTTGAGAATTTTGCAATTCGGATCAACATTCTTAAAATGTAAGAAAAAACAGTTTTTAAGAAAAAAATTCTTATTTTCGTGTATATTTAGTAATAACTATATACAAATGTCAATAAAAATAGACAAGAATGACGTTATTGATCTAAATGAAACTTCAGTCATATCCATATATGATTCGTGACAACGTATGCCTGCAAAAACGTCACTACTTAAAAAGTTACAAGTTGTACATTGTAAATAATCATTGTTACGTGTGCATAAAGTTACATCTAATAATAACAGAATATTTTTAACCAAAAAAATTGGTTAAAATAAATGTCCAATAAAAAACTTCCAAATTCAAATTTCACTTTTGTTTGATCACTATATAGCAAAGTAGTGACTTATTTCAAAAATTTTGACACATTCATGGTACTTAGAATCACTGAAGCATGAAAAATGACAAAATTTCTAAACTACTAAAAGTTAACGTAAACATTTTTAATAATTACTTGTCAAATTTAAATTTCCCGCCCTATTTTAGAGTCAACATGACGGATAAGTAGTACTTTCAAACAGACAAGCGTACAAATTATTATTTTTTTTAATCACTAATTAATTTGAGAATTCTGCGTCATCCAATAGCAAAATTCGAATAAAAATAGTATCTGTTTCGTAACTATAAAACTACAGAACAAAAATATTTTCAATTTATTTTTTTAAATAGTCAAAAAACAAGAATTATTAAATTGTTATTATGTTTTGTAATAAATTCTTTAATTAAATTAAATAAATAAAAACTAATTTTTTTCACAAAATAGCTAAATTAAGGGTCGAAAACAACATTGTTTTTGTCTTTTTCAAGTAAAATTTCACCCAAATGGGCCCAAAAATTAGCAAATTAAGTTGAAAATAGTATATTTAAAAAAAAGTACTCTAACTATTTTGGCTGAAATTTCTTGCTACTTTCAACAACAAAATTCTATAGTTTTTCACAAAAAGAGGTCTTTTGCGTTTTTCGATACCCCCTTTTAACCTATTTCAAAAATTTTGACACCCCTATGATATCTCAAGTCCCTAAAGCATCAAAAATGAGAATTTATTTATACTGCTACAGCTACGTAAAAATCTTTGCTATTATTTGTCAAATTTGAATTTCGCGCCCTATGTTAGGAACAACATGGCGGAAAAAGAGTACTTTGAAATAGATAAGCGCACTTATTTTTTAATACTCCAAAATCACAATTAATACTAATAAAACCAAAAAAAAAAACAATTGAATCAAAATCATAGTTAGAAATAATTAGTTAATTTAAGAATTCTGCGTTTCCGAGTGAAAATTTCTATTTTCATATAAGTATTCTAGTTTTTTTTAATAATTTTCGCCAAAAAAACAAGGTTTATTAAATTTAACATGTTTTGTAATTAATAATTTTTTTAACTAAAGTAAATGTTTTTGAGAAAGTAAGAAAAAAATCGTTTTTAAGTAAAAATTTGTCATTTTCGTGTATATTTATTGAATAAAATTTTCTCAAATGCATTAAAAAAATCCAAGGTTTCTTGTATTCTGTCAACATTTCACCACATTTCTCAAGCATTTCCGTCACGTTGCGGTTTCTCGTTACCAAGACCCCACTTTCCCAATCCCGTTCATTCCCCGAATTCCCACCTACCGAAAGTCCCTGCGAATTCTCCGCACTCGAGACATGAAAATGGTACAATTCTACCACCGACATCGAATCCGGATCGATCATTTGCGCCCCTTGTCTGGGCACCAAATCCAGTCCCAGTTTCCTGTAACCAAGCGAACCATGAGTCATGGTACCATGGTACCATCTACGGTCATCGGCCTCTCAAGGCCAACAATGACATCCCATTCACAAATCCCCTAACCCGGAGCCACAATTAGACCCGAAAATGTGCAATTAAAAACGCATTGCTACTAGAAATCAAGTAGCCGAGAGTCCGGAGCCTCCGGGCACTAGACACTTTTGGTCCGACTGTACCGCCAGGTGTTGCTGCAACGCCATTTTGGGCAATGCGAATCCGAGGCCCGGAAAATCAAAGAATTAAACATATTTTAGTGTTTTTTTTTAAGTTGGTAGTGCGTTTCGCCCCTTCGCCCCCGGATTTTAGTGACCGCCGCCACTGGTCTGGGGCATGCAGTGCTAGACCTGCATGCATTCTTCATCTTGTGAACAAAGCTCCAGGCTTTGAAGGATGAAAGATACAGATTTGTGTGAGTTAGAAAAGGATAGGGGACCCCCCTCTTGGTGATTATTTCATGACACGAAGAATACAAGCGACCAGTTGAGATCGTACCGTCGGGGAAAAGGCTCCCGACCCCAAAAAATGACACCAAACTAGTGACAAAACCGTGAAAAGTGACCAAAATCGCCCAAGTGCCAATTATCGTCCAATAACAAACTAACACGAAAGGTAAATACGCTTTAATCGCGCTTAATTACGTTTAATTACACGTAATTAGAGTTAATTAGCGTCAATTCATGATTCCAAAACTGGTTTTGGCCCAATTCGCCTAATTGCGAATTAAAATTAGTCCCAATTAATTCCACTTGGGACAAAGGAGAAAAACCAGCTTTGGGTCAGGTGCTTGGGCTTGGGGCCCAAAAAGCGTGAAAAAACCCCACAAATGTCTAAAAATCGTTCGATTTTGTGATACGTAAGCAGTTGAGCAATTGTTTAAGTCGCGATTAATTCCAATTACGGTGAAAAGTCCACGCCGGACAGCAGTTTTGATATCGTAGCTGCTTGATTTTGCAAAATTTCATGGTTTATTCAATACCCAAGGCTGGAACAACATTGTTGTCACATGTGGTCGCAATGAAAAAAGTCGTTTATCAAACAAATAGCTTAGGAGGGTCATAAGATGAGGAAATGAGCCCGGTTTTGTCTCGCTTTTATCGTTTTATGGCCGAGTTATAAAAAGTGCATGGGGAAATTCAAATTCGTGTAGAATTTTAATTGAAATTGTGGTAAAACACGTGTTTCCGTGCGATTTTTCACGCCATTTGCTTACTCACATCCTACATTTATCATTCATTTTGAGCCCACAAACGTAACAATGACCTTATTTATAGGGATTAAATTATAATCAACATCACTTCAAAATTACCATTATTTCAACGTCTTATCATTTTTGTTGTAGTTGTAGTAAATAAATAAATGATAAGTAAACTGTGACATTTGAGATGATGTTCAGCAAGTGTGTGATTTTATCTCGAAATTTGAGATATTTTCGCAATTTGTGGAAAACTGGATAGAGATAATCGGTAGTTTGTGATTACAATTACTCTAGTTTCAAATAAAAAAAAAAGTTATCTAAATGGTTATTTCTGTTGTTTTACTATCGGAGACTGACCACGTGCCATTAATCACGTGATCATTAATTTTTTTCATTCGTTTGGTCTTCTTTTTCAAAGTCGTCAAAGATAAAGGCTGCCTTTTTATTCATATTTTGTTGAAAAAAAAGGAAAAAAAAACTGTTTTCTGTTTACGTATTGAAAAGAATAAGACAATATTTAAATTGTCGCTTCAATAAAAAAAAGATAAAAACAATAAAAAAACGAATCTTTACAAGAAACATTATTTTTTTGTTGAGAAGAAAGCAAGAAAAACTGCTTTATGGGAGATAGAAAGTGTCAGAAGTATTCATCAAAACTCCGCCATTTTAATAATTCAAATTTCCCGCTCTTTCGTCCACAAAATGGCGAATATACAGAGGGTTCTCACCTTCTTTTTTGTTTTTTTTATCTTCCATTTTCGTTTTTTTTTTCTAAAGATAAAAATAATCAGAAGTTGTTCATCAAAACTCCTCCATTTTATTAATTCAAATTTTCCGATAATTCGTCCTCAAAATGGCGAACATACAGACTCTTATCCAATTTTTTGTTTTTTTTTTGTCTTTCATCTTCGTTTTTTATTGCTTAGACGTGTTTTTAAAGACAGAAGTTATTCATCAAAACTCCGCCATTTTGATAGTTCAAATTTACCGCTCTTTCGTCCTCAAAATGGCGAATACACAAAGTCTCACCAAAATATACATATACATCAGACTCTAACCTAATTTTTTGTTTTTTATCTTTCATTTTCGTGTTTTTTTTTTGTTGACGTGTTTTTATAGACAAAGATAGTTATCTTTAAATAACAAAACATAGAAAAAAGCGAATCTATAGCTCATAGTTTAAGACATTCTCTTTTTCACTTTATTCAAATTTGAAAAAAAAACCAGTATTAAAAAAAGAAAAATTTAACGATTTTTGAATTCAAAATTGCAATATCAAATATACAAAATATGCAGAAAAAAATAACTGTTTAACACATTTTCTCTCACTTTATCCTGCAGATAAAAATCATGTTGTCTCTTTTTCCATCAAAATGGCCGCAAAAATGGCGACTATTCTAATCTCATGAGATTAAGAGTTTTTCAACGCTTGATTTTGTAATGTTATCGCCGAAAAAATCAGAACAATTCAAATTTCCCGCGTTTTCTCTAAAATTGTCGGAATTGCAACTTTTTTTTTCACGTATGTATGTTTTTTGCATTTTTTAAAATATTTCAATGCTAGATTCTCCCAATTTACTTTTTCATTAAAAATGTCAAATTTGCAACTCGTTTTGCAGCTCTTTTTTATTAAATACCTATACTTTTTTATATCTTTCTCGTAGATTCAAATTTGAAAAAAAATCTGTGATAAAAAAAATCAAATTTCCCTACGTTTTGAATTCTAAATTGCAAAACTAGATATACAAAACATAAAAAAAAACTGTTCAACACATTCTCTCTCACTTGATCATGTATAATTGTAGATATTGTTTCTTTTTTCATTAAAATGGTCGCAAAAACAGTGGTGATCTCATCAGATTTAGAGTTTTTAAACAGTTGATTTCGCAATGTTGTCGCCCAAAAATCGCGTTTTGACTAAAAATGGCGGAATAACACTTTTTTTACATTTGTAAAAATATTCCTCCAAAATGCTTTTTGATTAAAAATGGCGGATTTGCAACCCGTTTTAAATCGTTTTAGCTCTTTTTTTAAAAGTATATTTTTTAATTTCATAGATTCAAATTTAGAAAGAAGCTGTAATAAAGAAAAATTCAAATTTCAAGCCTTTAGTAAATTGCAATATCAAATATGGAAAACAGGGATAAAGATACAGAAAAAAGTAACTATTCAACGCACTCTCTCTCTCACTTTATCATGTAGATAGTATGACTTGTCTCTTTTTTTATCAAAATGGCCGCAAAAATGGCGACTATTGTAATCTCATCAAATTTAGAGTTTTTGAACACTTGATTTCGCAATGTTGTCGTCGAAAAAGTGAAAACAATTCAACTTTCCCGCGTTTTGACTAAACGTGGCGAAATTGTAACTCTTTTTTGATGTGTTTTTTTACATTATTTCTATCTACATCCTCTAAAACGCTTTTTGATTAAAAATGGCGGATTTGCAACCCGTTTTAAATCGTTTTAGTTTTTTTTTTTTGAAATATATTTTTTAATTTTATAGAGATTAATTTAAAAAGAAGCTGTAATAAAGAAAAATTCAAATTTCAAACCTTTAGAAAATTGCAATATCAAATATGCAAAACAGGGATAAAGATACAGAAAAAAGTAACTGTTCAACACACTCTCTCTCACTTTATTATGTAGCTAGTACGACTTGTCTCTTTTTCATCAAAATGGCCGCAAAAATGGCGACTATTATAATCTCATCTGAGTTTTTGATCGATTTCGCCATGTTATCGTTAAAAAAGTCAAAACAATTCAAATTTCCCGCGTTTTGACAGATTTGCAACCCGTTTTAAATCGTTTTAGCTCTTTTTTTAAAAATATATTTTTTAATTTTATAGATTCAAATTTAAAAAGAAGCTGTAATAAAGAAAAATTCAAATTTCAAGCCTTTAGAAAATTGCAATATCAAATATGCAAAACAGCGATAAAGATACAGAAAAAAATAACTATTCAACACACTCTCTCTCCCTCTCACTTTATCATGTGGATAGTACGTCTTGTCTCTTTTCATTAAAATGACCTCAAAAATGGCGACTCTTCTAATCTCACCAGAGCTTTTGATTGATTTCGTGTTGACTAAAAATGGCGGAATTGTAACTCTTTTTTCAAGTATGTTTTTTACATTTTTTTAAAATATTTCTATGCTAGGTCCTCCAAAACCCCTTTTAGTTCTTTTTTCATGTTATTTTTTTTATTTATAATTTTTTAATTTTTTATAGACCTTCCAAGATGAGCGTCTTCGGCATGGTGTCGGCCGTGGCGGGCTTCATCAAAGTCCGCTACCTCATCGACAAGGCCATGATCGACAACATGGTCTTCCGAGCCCACTACCGGGTCACCTCCGCCATCCTCTTCGTCTGTTGCATCATCGTAACAGCCAACAACCTCATCGGTACTTCCCCCGCTCAAATTTCCCCTTTTTTACCCTCAAATTCCAGGGTACCCCATCCAGTGCATCAACGACCGCGGGGTCCCCGGCCACGTGATCAACACCTACTGCTGGATCACCTACACCTTCACGCTCCCCCACGAACAGGGCAAATACATCGGCTCGGAAGTCGCCCATCCGGGCTTGGGGAACGACAACCAGGAGAAACGGTACCATAGCTACTACCAATGGGTACCCTTCGTACTGTTTTTCCAAGGAGTATTGTTCTACATGCCGCACTGGATTTGGAAAATGTGGGAAAATGACAAGATCCGGATGATTTCGGAGGGTATGAGGGGGGCCCTTGTGGGGGCCAAGGAGGAGAGGGAGAGGAGACAATCGCGACTTGTGCAATATTTGGTCGAGACGATGCATATGCATAACACCTACGCCTTCGGGTACTTCGTCTGCGAGGCCCTCAATTTCATCAACGTGGTAATTACCCTTTTTACTTTTTTATTTATTAAAGAAAAGTTGAAACTCCTATTTGGTGCTATTTTTTTAATTTACAAAATCTATCATATTTTTATTTAACTTTTATGACAAATGTAGAGAAAAATATGAGTGATTCCATTTTTTTCAAAAATATATAAATATTTTTTTGTTTTTATTTTAATTTTTTTATTAAAGAAAAATCAGCTCCCATTTAGAGTTGTTTATTTGTTAGAAAATACGAGATTTATCACATTTTTGTGGCAAATGTGTATAAAAAATGAGTACGAGTATATCCGTTTTTTTCAAAAAAAATAATTTTAGTTAAAACTATTTTTTTTTGTTTTTATTATAATTTTTTTAACAAAGAAAAATGTAAACTCCCATTAAGAGCTGTTTATATTTTTAAATATACAAAATTGTCATATTTTGACAAATTTGAAGTAGTGTCGAATAACTTTTTTCAAATGTGACAGTATTTTCCTTTCTTTCCGAAATAATTTAAACTTTTTTTATCTGTTATTTTTAATATTACTTGTCAAAGAAAAATAGAATCTCCCATTTAGAGCCGTTAATTTTTTTTAAATATGTATACAAACCTTATTACGTTTTTATGGCAAATATAGAGAACCAAATGAAAATTTCCTTTTTTTTTTTTTCGAAAGATTTTAAATTCAACAAAATATTCGTTTTTTGTTTTTTTTATTTTATTTTTTTTAATTGAAACTCCATTAAGAACTGTTATTTTTAACGCTGCTCTGTTTTTTTAATGGCATTCGGTATACAAAATTTATCACATTTTCAAAAATTGTAATTTCGCTGTTTTTTTTTCATTGGTATTCAGTTCGTTGAAACGTCAACGACTTTTTTCATTCTCACTGAATTTTATGGCAAATGTGAAGGAAAAAAATTAGTATTTCCCTTTCATTTCAAAAAACTTCTTTAAATCTTCTTTTTTTTGTTTTTATTATCATTATTTGCCAAAAAATTTCGAATTCCCATGTAGTCGTTTATTTTTTTAAATATACATTTATTACATTATCACATTTGTATGGCAAATATAGAAAAAAAATGAGTACTTCCTTTTTTTAATTTATTTAAATTTTCTTTTTTGTAATTATATTGTTTTTATTTTTTTTTCAAAGAAAATTTGAAACTCCCATTTAGAACTGTTTATTTTTTTAACATCGTTTCGTTTTCTTTTTTCGATGATATTCAACATTGAAAAATTATGCCAATTTCATTGAAATGTCAAACAACTTTTTTCAAATGTGACATTTAGACTGAATTTTATGGGAAATGTAAAGAAAAAAATTAGTATATCCCTCAGTATTTCCTTTTCTTTTCATAAAACTTGTTTAGATCTTTTTTTATTTTTATTATTATTATTTATCAAAGAAAAATTGAAACTCCTACTTAATGTTTTAAATATACAAAATTTATCACTTTTTTATGGCAAATATAGAGAAAAAATTGAGTATTTTATTTTTTTTTCAAAACATTTTAAATTTATTTAAATACTTTCTTTTGCTATAATTGTTTTTGTTTACTTTTTTTTCTAAGAAAAATTAAAACTAAAATCTTGAACGGTTTATTTTTTTTTAACTCCGTTCTGTTTTTTTTTTGAATGGCATTCAGTACGATGAAAAATTATGTCAATTTTTTGAAGTGTGATATTCAAACTGAATTTTTATGGAAAATGTAGAGAACAATTTTTTCTATAATGTTATAAATCTTTTTTTTGTTTTTATCAAAGAAAATTTCATATCCCATTTAGAATTGTTTTATTATGTTTTTCTCAAGAAAAAATTAAACTCCCATTGAGAGTTGTTAATTTTTTTAAAATATACAAAATTTATCATATTACGAGAAATTTTAGCTCCGTTGTTTTTTTTCAATGGCATTCAGTTCGGTGAAAAATTATGCCAATTTGGTTGAAATGTCAAACGACTTTTTTCTAATGCGACAACAAATAGAATTTCTACGAAAAATGTAGAGAAAAAAAGGAGTATTTTCTTTTTTCAAAAAATTCAAACTAATTTAAATCTTTTTTTTATTACATGTTTTATTATCATTATTTTTATCAAAGAAAAACTGAAACTCCTATTTATTAAAGCTGTTTAATTTTTTAAATGTATAAAATGTATCACGCCAATTGCCAATTGACCCAATTGATCTGTTTTGGTTCCAGATGGTGAACATCTTCATGACGGATCGATTTTTGGGCGGCGCGTTTCTGAACTATGGTACCGACGTCATCAATTTTTCGAACATGAACCAAGAGAACCGAACTGACCCAATGGTGGCCGTTTTCCCGCGCGTGACCAAATGCACCTTCCACAAATTTGGTGCTTCTGGTACAATACAAAAACACGACGCTCTCTGCGTCCTCGCCTTGAACATTTTGAACGAGAAAATCTACATTTTCCTCTGGTTCTGGTTCATTATTCTCGCCGTGTTGTCCGGCCTGGCGATCGTCTATTCCGCGGCGGTTGTGCTATTGCCGAGCACGAGAGAAATGATTCTGAAACGGAGGTTCCGCTTTGGGGCCCCCAACGCCGTCGACACAATCATAAGAAAGACTCAAGTAAGTTTTTTGCGAAAATTACATCGAAAAATAACGTAAAACTAAAAAGGGCTATATCAGTATCACCCTGTAGATCCGTAACGAAGCCTTTTAGGACTATTGTTTATTCGACAAACTAGTGTTGTTTTTCGATGTAGAATACGTGGTTGCAATTTTTCGCAATGTTAGAAAAACACCCTGTATATTTTTTTAAGGTTGGGGACTTTTTGCTGCTGCACTTATTGGGCCAGAACATGAATTTGATGGTCTTTGGCGAGATTTTGGACGAGTTTGTCCGCCGCTTGAACTTCGGCTCGAATTGCAACCTGCCCTCGGCCCCTAGCACCTTGGAAATGAGCCCCATTTACCCCGAAATCGAGAAATACGGAAAAGAGACTGAAACGTGAACGATCTCTTCGCGCATTTTTTTTTCATTTTACTTTTGTGATTATTTAATTAAGGTTCGCTTCAATTTTTTTTTTAATATAAGTCTCGTATTGGGAGAGAATTTTTACTTACTTGTTACCCCAATCGATTTTGGCGATGATTTTCATTTTCAATTCCCGAGTTTGGTCTTGGGTTAAAGTGCCGGAAACTAATTGGCGACGCCATTCGAGGAGGTCGCGCATAACTTTTCCCACTGTTTCGAACTTGTAATGCTCACGTTGCTGGAAAATGGAGGAAATTGGAGAAAACTCACCTCGACAATTTGCAAGATGAAGAAAAGTTATGAAAATATAATTTCTCGAAATGAAATGAAAATGGGTTTTTTTGAGTTGCATAGAGGGAGAATCAAAAGCATTTTTGAATATACAGGGTGAATCATAAAAACAGTTCTGTATACAGGATGTTAAAAAAAGATTGAAAAATATTTCAGGAGGTAATAGTGAGGACCAAAACACACAAAAAAGTCTTAATAAACATAGATCCACAAAGTAAGGGTTTTGTAGACATTAATAATAAATTTTTAGAATTATTACCAGAAGCTTCTCTTTTGATTAAATGTTTCAAAAAAAAAATCTTTGGCATCTCCGAAAGCGTTACTTTTTGGACTTCTGTTTAATAAGACTTTTTGTTTGTTTTTGTTCATACTATTATCTTTTGAAATATTTTACAATTTTTTTAACACCCTGTATAAAAGTGTAAAACATGTATAAGCAAAAAATTTTTAAAAATGTATAAAACACGGGAAAAAATGGTCCTTTTGATTATTTCACTAGAACTTAGCCTAAAGCATTGTTGGCATAATTTCAAAAAAAAAATGTTATACTAAAAGAAAAAAAACAGAAAAAAATTAACGTACTGATAAAGAAGAAGTTAAATTAATTTTACAATAAATTTTAGCTGAAAATAAAATCAATAAAGTAATATCGAAAATTATTCGTTTTCTGAAACATTTATTTGCAATCTGTTCAAACAAAAAAAGAGAAGCTTCTAGTAAAAATTCAAAAATTGTTACTTTGACCCATGTTTGTTAAGACTTTTTTTTTATTTTGGTTTATAACATTACCTCCTTAAATATTTTACAATCTTTTTTTAACACCCTGTATACAGGGTAACACAATTGTTCTTTCTGCAATTTGGAGCAAACTTAATGAAAATTAAAAAATATAAATCCGATGATTTTTTAGTTTGAATTAACAATTAATTAACATTAAAAAATAAACTACACTCAGATGCAAAAAAACGCAACAAGTTAATTTTTGGTAAAATTTACAGTTTCATAATTTGTTTATTTTAAGTAATAAAAAAAATTGTCTAAGAGGCCAAAAAGCAGTTTGATAGGGATTTTTCAACAAAAATATATATATATAGAGGGTGACTCAAATAAACTTAAAAAAAAAACTTAGTAAATTAATTAATTTGTATCAAATGTTCCATTCAACCTAACAAAAACTTACTTAAGTTTCAAAAATTACATATTTTTAAATATGTAATAAGTTACCTTGTATATGTATACAGGGAGACTTATTGCTAGTTATAGAACATTTGTTTACTTTTTCCTTGCAATTTGTGACAAAATTCAAYTTTGAGGCCTCATTCTAAAATTATTTTAACGTCATATAAATRCTGAAAATAAAATTTTATAGTGTATACAGTACAGGGTGAGTCACTAGTGACTGTTCCATCCATTAATTCCATTAATGTGCCGAAGTAGAAAAAAAAAATCTAATATCTTTTATTTTTAAAGAAATTAAAGTCAATTATATGTGTTCAAAAAATTAATCTTATTTGAATATACAGAGTGAACTAAAAATTTTGAATGACAAGTAAAAAATTAAATGTCTTTTTTTGTTATACTGTGTAAGTACAGTATCTCGTTTTCTATTATTTTTTTTCAATTTAATTTGAAGAAATATCAATACAGGAGATTTTTCGTAAAAAATATATTTCTTTACATGTACAGAGTGACTCGAATAAACTTTTCTGGTATAACTTTGAAATAAATTAATTAACTACTGTCCAATAAAACATTACAAAAAATTACTCAAATGTCAAAAAATTGTCATTTAAAATTTTTTATTGTGTATACATGGTGATTTTAATAGTTGTGCAGAAATTTAAAAAAATGGTAGTGCAGGTCCAAAGAAGTCAAAAAAAAAACTCAACTTGCCTTATTGCTATATCTATAGTTTCCGACATGTTAATTAGAATTTTTTTTMACATTTTTCTGTCGTTGTTTTTGCTACTTTTAACATAGTTTTTGCATAGATTTTGCAGAAATAACATCAGAATTCATATTTATTTACCATTTTTGTTGGTGGAATACTGCCCACCAAATTTAAATATTTTGTCAATTACAACCCTCTATATTTCAGAAACTATAAAGATTCGAATAAGTCAAGTTTAGTTATTTTCTGATATTTTATTCTCGACTATCACCTCTTAAAATTTCTGCACAACTATTAAAATCATGGTATAGTAGATACAGGGTGAGTCACTAATAACTGCTCTTTTATCATACTCTTAATAGAGGGTGTAATAATTGACCTGACTAGACACATCTATTGCCTAATCAATCGTTTCGTGTAAAACTCTTTTACAGGGGTCATGTGACATGAAAAAATATTGCCAATCTTATAACCTTACACTAATAATGATTATTATTATTACTTTTTGGACTACTTTTTCTAGTGTAAGTTTAGAAAAATCAAATGACTCAAATCCCAGTTCGTTTGTTAACCGGCGATTGACAATTGTTCAATCGCCGCACTCGCTCCTAACTTTTATTCATCTTGTGTTTAACTTGACCCAAATTGTCCCCTACCACGTATAGCTTCTTCCAAATATCGCCCCACTCCCGCAGCACGAGGGTGACTTCCCTAACGACGGGATCCTCGAGCGGGACGACGCTCTCAAACAAGCCCTCATTGTCGACTTTGCACGGCTTCAAGTGGATGTAACTTTGCGGGAAAATGCCCTTAATTGAGCGATTTTTCGTGGAAAAACCACGATACCAGCCTTGGGATTCCTCGAGGATTTGAACGGTTTCGCCGATTTCCAGAGGGAGCCCGAAACGGGTATCCCCCTTCCAGTTGTAAATAGCTAAAAAAAATAATACTCTAATCATTATGTTATCATAGTTGTGTCACTATGAGTAATTTCAAAAGGTGCGATAATTCACTGTTTGACGTAAAGATAATAATAGCGACATTATAAAGCAAGCTATGAAAGGTGTTTTCCTGACATAATTTAAAAATTTTCCAACACTATCAGCAATTATATTCATTATTATCAGGAATTAAGACCACTGACTAGTGACGTTTTAATCGGTGTTGCCAATTTGACAAAAACAAAGCAGTGCTACCAACTTTAGCAATTATCTCGAATGAGCATAAATCTGACATAAAACGGATGTTGCCATTGTCACACTTCACGGCTTTCATTACTTTTATTAAATTTTATGATTCCACATTATTTCAATTAACTGTCAGAGATAAGGATAAGCATGTTTAACGACTATTTTGTTTCTCTCTAAACATTAATTATCTAAAAACAATTGATAGTGCACTAATGACCTTGGTCAAAAGTGAAGACGCTTAATTATGGTCAAGGTCGACAGGAAATAAACATGGGCAAAAATGCGCCAATAGTTGGAAAAAAGTGCAGTTTTGCCAACCGGTATTGACCTGACCTGACTTGTCCAGTGTTGCCAAACTAAAAATTTTTTTTAAAGATCTGGGCTAAAAAAGTTTGCCAAATTTACACCTGTTTTTACAAGATTTATGATTTAAAATTTCTAACACTGACTAGGGTTTACGTTTTTTGCATAAATCTTACGCAAACCTGCTCAAAACGTACTTAAACCATCGAAAAAAGCAAAAATTACACTGTTTTTGGTCTAATTCTGTAATTTTTAGGGTTGTTTTTAATGAACTTCCACGAAATATTTAAGTTTTCACCGAAAAACACGCTAATAGACTTGAAAAAGGCAAAAATAATAATTTGATTTTGTGTTTTTGTTTAAAAACGTTATTAAAGACTTCAAAAAGGTAAAGTAACACTGTTTTCGACCAAATTTTGAGTTTTTATTATTATTTTTTGACAAAATTTTATTCAAAAACGAGCTAAATCCCATAAAACAAACGACATAATATTAATTTGAATTTCTATTTGTAATTGTTAGGCTTGTTTTGACAAAAAAGTCCCTGGTTCAAAAACGAACTAAGTGGAGCGAAACAAGCCAAAATAATACAAATTTCAATGAAATTTCTTAAATTTTTAGTCAGTTTTAACAAAATTTTTCAAAAAACATTGTTTTTATTCCAAAAACGTGCTTAAACACTTTAGAAATGGAAAAAATAACACAATTTTTGGCCAAATTTGGTACATTTTCGGTTTGTTTTTAACTAAATTGTGCCTTTTAGGGCTAAAAAACGTCTTAAAACGCTCCGAGAAAGGCCAAAATAATGTACTTTTCGACCAAATTTAATGATTTTTTAACTCTGTTGGGTGGAATCTCTTAAAAAAGTATTTTCGTAACTAATTTTTAGATTTGTTTTTAAGAAAGTTCAGCACCATAATTGAGTTTGTATCTAAAAACGTGGAAAATGCAAAAAACAGTATCATCATTTTTGATCTTAATTGCAATATCAATAATTAAAAAAACACTCGACTAAAAAAAATAAACTTTCTGCTGTAACTGCAATCAAAATCTAAAAAAAGTTTTCACCAAATCAGCAGACTGGCACAAAAGTCACCAGATATGGTGAAATTTCACCAGACTTGACAACACTGCTACTGTCTTTCTATTGTTTTACAGAGGTCACGTGACTTGATAATCGCAGATAAAAGTTTAAGTGAGTCAGATATGCAACCTTATAAATCTCATGTAAATTTTCAGAAGAAATAAAAATTATGTCCTAATTTCGGAAAATGCTATACTTTTTTGGAAACCAGACAATCTTAATGAAAGCCACTGTATGTTTTTCAGATCAATAAAATTAATAAAAAACTGACTTGACTAGACAGATCTACTGTCTAATCAATTGTTTCGTGTAAAACTATTTTAGAGAAGTCACGTGACACGAAAAAAATCGAAGAAAAAAGAGTCAGTTTTGACAATCTTATAACTCCAAAGTGAACTTAAAAAAAATTATGTCCCGATAAGGAAAAATCCTATACTTTTTTGACAAATCGTAATAAAAGCAACTGTAGGTTCTCCAGTTCGATAAAATTCATAAAAAATTGCAATAAACCTGTTTCACAGCCAACTTTATAAACAATAAAAATTTAAATGAACTCCTTGGCAATTTATTTTATAATAAGAATACTAATTGGCTTGAAATAATTCCATTGTAAGTCCTACACACAATTTCCATTATGTGTGTGAGTTTTGCCAACCTTACAAATTCCCATGTAAATTTTAAGAAGAAATAAAAATTATGTCCTGATTTGGAAAAATTCTATACTTTTTTGGAAACCAGACAATCTTAATGAAAGCAACTGTATGTTTTTCAGTACAGTACAATTCGTAAAAAAATGCAATAAACTGACTTGACTAGACAGATCTACTGCATAATCAAGTGTTTCACGTAAAACTCTTTTACAGAGGTCACGTGACATGAAAAAATCACAGTAAAAGTATTAGAGTCAGTTTTGCCAACCTTATAAATTCCTATGTAAATTTTAAGAAGAAATAAATGTCCTGATTTGGGAACATCCTTTACTTTTTTGGAAACCAGACAGATTTAATGAAAGCAACTGTATGTTTTTCAAATGAATACAATTCATAAAAAATTGCAACAAACTGACACAATTTCCATTATACCAACTTAACCAAGTATTAGAGTGCCAGTTTCACCAACCTTATAAATTCCCATGTAAAGTTTAAGAAGAAATAAAAATTATATCTTGATTTGGGAAAATCCTATACTTTTTTGGAAACCAGACAATCTTAATGAAAGCAACTATATGTTTTCTTTCTAGAAAATTGCAATAAACCCGTTTCGCAGCCAACTTATTAACAATAACAATTTAAATAAATTCCTTGACAATTTATTTTATAATAAGAATACCAATTAGCTTGAAATAATTCCATTGTACACCCAATGGTACCAACTTAAACGAATTTTTTGTAAGTGCACTTCCTTTTGAATCAAGACACATGTGTTAATGACGTTAAAACATCCGACAAAGCGACAATTTGATTATGCTTAATGTCCGGATGTGTGTATACAGGGTGAGCCCAAAAAACCCTTCATTTCGCAATTGTTCGATTCAAGCGCCTATTTTTACGTCTTCTAATTATACATTCCAGACATGACCACAGAGGAAGCGTAAAGTGTTGAGATCCGAAGAAGTGCACCGGAAGTCGGGACTCGAAGTACAGCCGTTCGAAAATTTCTTCGAGAATTGCGGCCCTAGGGCCGCAAAGGTGCAACGTTTCGCTGCACTTCCCGTGCAACCAAACGAGCTGACTTTGCGCGAATTTCGATTAATCGCAAATTGATAATTGGCGTGAATGATTTTGACAATTATCACAATGGAAATTCGAGGATTGATACTCACCGACGCCGTATTTTTTCGTTTTTGTTGGAATCCACATTTTGCACGATTTTTATCACAATCACATTTTAACAACACGCACACATTTTAATCAATAGCACTACTCCACTGTACTACGGCCATTGTTTGGGTTGTCAAAATTTAAAGATATGGGGGAAGCCCGTAGCAGAGCTACTCGCGCCGAGATGGCGCCACGCTCAAGGCCACGCCGGTATTGCAGACGTCTGCAAACGGCGCGAAATTCAAACTCGGGATTAGAAAAAATAATTTTATTGCATAGTATGATACATATTACACAAGTCCTAATGAGTACACCTAATACTTATCACATAAAATAAGAAAACAGTTAAATAAACGTAAGATTTGAAATGCGTCAAGTCTATTTGGAATCGCTGCGATTCTTTAGCTTCATTCGAGCCTGGAGAAACTCCTTGTTGATCACTTTATCGTCCTCGTTCTGTAAAAAAATCATTAATTTTGGTTTAAATTAAAACAAACTTGCCTTCTCCTCATTGGTGTTCCCCTGCAACCGTTTCGCCCTATCAGCTATCACTTTCTCCAACTCGGGGGTTTTGTCGGCTAGGTGATGTTCCATTTGTTTTTTCGCCAGATTCTCCTTTTGTTTCTCCAGGGCCTTCTGCAATTCGGATTTTTGGTTGAGTACGTTTTTCCCACTGCAACACAATTTCATTTTTATATAACAATATTTTTTAGAAATTAATACTTGCAACATTACCAAATTTATTTATAGCACCACAAAATTAATCTTACAATCATTATTTTTAGTTCAGTGAAAATTTTTAATTATATAAAATGAAGCAAAGCCGAAAAAAAAATTAATTACATAATTCTATAAAATATGGAAGTTTTCATTCTGTAAAATACGTTTTGTCAAAAAAACGTGTAAATCACATTTGTTCAATGCATCCTTCTTCCATATTTTTTTTATTTTTCTTCTTTAAGTTTGTTGAAATCAAAGATTTATCAAGAATTCGCTTTATTTTACCAAATTTCCTTGACTAGACAGAATATTAAAATACATAATATTTTATGTGTTATTTCGGTTTATTTTATTCAAAATGCAGTTTTCAACGCGATTATATCTTATTTTAAAAAACTCTTTAAATTAATGCAAGAAATCAATGTTATTTCGACTACTTTAATTAATTTTGACTTGTTATTTCCTCTCATTTGGCTACTTGTGTAACGAAAGTTTTATTTAGCTCAAGAAATAAAGTTAAATTAATCAAAAAACAGCAAAAACAACACAAAAAGTTTTGCAAAAATAACTCAAGAGACTTTGCCTTTTTGAAAAAAATCACATATTTTCTATAAAAAAAAAAAAAAAGAAAAGAACAAAAATCAAAAAGAATAACAATCTAGTTAAATAAAAATTACGTCAGGATCTCCAAAAATAGAGTTCAATTGATCAAGAAACAAAAAAAATTACACAAAAGGCTTTGCATTTTAGAAAAAAAATCACCCAACTTTCTAAAGAAAAAAAAAGAAAAATTCAAAAACTATTTTTTGTGGTTAAATAACATCTCTTTGTAGAACTTCATTTACTTCAAGAGTTCAAGAAATAGAGTTCAATTGATCAAAAAACCATAAAAATAACCAAAAAGCTTGGCATTTTTAAAAATAATCACCCATTTTCTAAAGAAAAAATAATAATAAAAAATAAATAAATTACATTTTGGTTAAATAACAACTCTTTGTGGAGTTTCATTTACCTCAAGAGATCAAGAAACGGCAAAAATAATACTAAAGGCTTTGCATTTTTTTAAATCACCCATTTTTCTAAAAAAAGGGAAATTAAAAAAATACATTTTTTGGTTAAATAACAAATATTTGGGGAGTTTCATTTAGGTCAAGATCTCAAAAAAATTGAGTTCAACTGATTAAAAAACGGCAAAAATAACACAAAAAGCTTTCCTTTTTTGAAAAAATCACCTATTTTCTGGTTAAATAAAATTTACGTTAACATTTCCAAAAATAGAGTTCAATTGATCAAGAAACGGCGAAAATTACACAAAAGGCTTTGTAGTTTTTTAAAAATATTACCCATTTTTCTAAAGAAAAAAAAAACAATCAAAATTAAAATACTATATTTTCTATCAAAATAACAACTCTTTGTGGAGTCTCATTTACCTCAAGAACTCAAGAAACAGCAAGAATAATACTAAAAACTTTGCTTTTTTTAAAAAAAAACGACAATTTTTCTAAAGAAAAAAATAGTAAAAATTTAAAAAAATACATTTTCTGGTTAAATAACAACTCTTTGTAGAGTTAGTTTCATTTGCCTCAAGAGCTCAAGAAACAGCAAAAATAATACTAAAGGCTTTGCATTTTTTAAATCACTCATTAAAAAAAAATAATAAAAATTAAAAAAAATACATTATTTGTGTTTCATTTACGTCAAGACCTCAAAAAATAGAGTTAATTGATAAAAAAAACAGCAACAATGACACAAAAAATTATGTATTTTTGAACAAAATCACCCATTTTTGTAAAGAAAAAAAAAAGAAAAAAATAATAAAAATTAAAAAATTACTTTTTCTGGTTAAATAACTCTTTGTGGAGTTTCATTTACTTCAAGAGCTCAAAAAATAGAGTTCAACTGATCAAAAAACAGCAAAAATAACACAAAAAGCTTTCTTTGTGTTTTTGAAAAAATCACCCATTATTCTAAAGAAAAAAAAGAACAAAATTATAAAAATTAAAAAATTACATTTTCTGGTTAAATAACTATTTGTGGAGTTTCATATACTTCAAGAGCTCAAAGAATAGAGTTCAATTGATCAAGAAGCGGCAAAAATAACACAAAAAGCTTTGCATAAAAAAAATACTCATTTTCTAAAGAAAAAAACAATAAAAAAAACATTTTCTGGTTAAATAACTCTTTGTGGAGTTTCATTTTCCTCAAGAGCTCAAGATACAGAAAAAATTATTATTTAGTAGTATTTAGTATTCTAAAGACTTTGCATTTTTTTAAATCACACATTTTTCCAAAAAAAGTAAAAACAAAAAAATACATTTTCTGGTTAAACAACAATTATTTGTGGAGTTTCGTTTACGTCAAGATCTCAAAAAATAGAATTCAATTCATCAAAAAACAGCAAAAATAACACAAAAAATTAAGTATTTTGAAAAAATCACCCATTTTTGTAAAGAAGAAAAATAGAAAAAAATAATAAAAATAAAAAATTACATTTTCTGGTTAAATAACAACTCTTTGTGGAGATTCTGCCGTTCGCTGTTGTCCTTGACCGGATTCGGCGGCTTCCGGGGGATTATCAACCCATCCTCGTTGAGCAGGGGCGGCGGGGGGTGGTGAGTCGGCCCTCTTTGATTCTCAGGAATCATGTCGATGGAAGACTCGTCTGAAAAAAAAATATTTCTTTATTTATTTTTTTATTTTATTTTCTTCTTTTAAACACAGTGAAAAAAATTTGAAAAATAAAAATTCCGCAGTGAAGCCAGGTGATTCCGGTTCAAGGCCGAATTATGTGATTTGCAATAGGTCAAGAGCGGAAAAAATCGATTACTCACCTGTTTCAATAGTAGTTAGTTTAGTTTTGAGCTCCTCGATGGTGTTTTGGGTTGTGATCGGTTGTTCTTCCTTCGTTGTCAAATCCTGGAAAGGAGACAAATTATAACTTGCGGTTTTGCACCAATAAAAGAGAAAGAGTTGCGCTTTCAACCAATCATAAATCGTTTACTTGCACAAATATTTTGATTACCTTGAAATTGACTTTTTTTTTCTACTATAAATAATTATAATTTCAGTGTTTGCGTACCATAAATAAATATATAAGCCGCAGCGAGCAATTATCTCTGAATGTGCTTTGTGCTGTGATTACACATAAACTATCCAACCCGTGTAGTAAGTAATGAGGGCTTGATCATGCGCGTTTTAAACAAATTTTTCTAAGATAAAACACCAAAGGGAGGACAATTAATTAAGTGTTTGTTTGAAAAATGATAAACTTTGTACATAGAACGCATATGGCGGCTACAATCAATTTACGAAACTATGCAACAGGTGGTCAAAGGATTCACTTCCTTCCGAGTTAAACTTCTTTAATTTACCACAATTCGATTAATTGTGTTATACTATTGTCACTTTCTCGATTATTATTAAAGTCACTTTCTTCTTTTTGCCTTTGATTGACTCCACAAACTAACCAATTTCGTTGAGAAATTGTGAAAACAACAAAATTATCACTATCGCGAAATAATTTACTCGCAAATCACGATAATAACGGATCGATCGGACGCATTTCCTGGTGGTAACCGTTTTGTCCTTAAAAAACGGTTACCGAGGTCGTATTAATAACTCCCCTGTTTATATCAATCATGACAAATTGGGGCCTTTATTCGACGCCCTTTCGGGAACAAAGGGGACTAAGGAGGGTCAAATTCCGGTAAAAAATAGGGACAAGAGTGGCCTCAAAAATGAAGTGTGATAATATTAAATATTCAAAAAACTACAAAGTTCAAATATTTCATAAAAAAATTAAAACAAACAAAAGACGAAAAAAGTTATAGTATTTTCAAAATTGCACATTTTTACCACTTTTATTTATCACCCTGTATATCAAAAGCTTTTGATATTTATATCAAACAATAGAGCAAGGCCTACGTTGTCATTATGCAAAATTTTACTTTTCTATTATTAATAATAAATATTCTAGGAGAATTAAAGCGAACGCAAGTAATTTTCAAAATTTTACTAAAATGTCAATAATTTGACTACACACAATCAAAAACTAAACTTTTTTAATGATTTTAAAGCAAATTAAATAAGACAAATAAAAAAATACATTTAAAATTAACAATTTCCGACATCACAATGAATTTTGTGAAACTTTTATCAGATTTAAAATTTTTCATATTCATTTTCATTTTCTTTCAATTTTTTTTATTTATTTTACATTCTTTTAAAAAACAAAGAAAAAAATTATCTTTGAAATTTTTCAGCTGCCGTCAAAGTTTAATATTTTACTATAGTTTTCTTTATTTGGGTACTAATTCAAAATTTGATCACTTTTAGTTATCACTCTGTATAACAAAAACATATGAAAATTATGTGAAACCATAGAGTAAAGCCGTTTGTACCCTTGTGCAAAATTCCACTTTTCTGTTAACAAAAAAATACCCAAAAAATTTATCCCAAAGAATGTACATATTTTCAAAATCTTGCAAAAAATTGTCAATAATTTGGTGAAAAAGTAATTTTTATTTCAATATTTGTGTGAATTCGGTGCAAGATTGTGCAGAAATTCTAGATGACTTAACATTTTTTCACCTTCATGTTCATTACTGTAGTCATCATTATTATAATAACCTTGAAAACTGTTGTTATTATTACTATTTTTAGACTGTCTTCTCTCTGTCTCTTTAGTTTTGTTATTAATTTTTCTTCCCTTTAAAACATTACAAAAAAATGATCCGGGGGAGAAGTCGAACCATACACTTTTGGAAATCATTTTCAAAATTTATCAAAATTTTATATTCGACTTTGTTGTAAGTCTACTAAAACTTAAAAAAAAAAAAGTGGAAAAAAATGATGTTGAGCAGGGATCGAACCACAAACTTTTGAAAATTTTATATTCAACATTATTTTTTTTTCAATTAGATAGAAAAATACTGCTTGTTTACTAAAATTGTGTTTTTCAAAAAAAATTAAAAAAAAATTGAAACGGTAAAGAACCATCTTTTGAAAATCATACTCAAAAACCAAAATTTTATATTCGACACAGGGATCGAATTACAAAACTTTTGAAAATAATTTTTAAAATTTGACAAATTTTAATTTTCAGCATTGCTTTTTTATTTAGATAGAAAAATACTGCATGTATGTACTAAAACTGCTTTTCGAAAAAAAAGCAAAAAAAATTGATACAGAGCAGGAATCGAACCATATAATTTTGGAAATCATTTCAAAATTTATATTCGACTTTGTTGTAAGTCTACTAAAACTGTTTTTCAAAAAAAAAGTGGAACAAAATTATTCCGGAGCAGGGATCGAACCACAAACTTTTGAAAATCATTTTCGAAATTTGACAAAATTTTATATTCAATATTGTTTTTTTTTAATTAGATGAAAAAATACTGCTTGCGAGTTTAGTAAAATTGTGTTTTTCAGAAAAAAAAAAAACAAAAAAAATGATCCGGAGCAGGGATTGAATCACAAAACTTTTTGAAATCATTTTTGAAATTTCACAAATTTTTATTTCAAACATTGTTTTTATTTAGATAGAAAAATACTGCCTGAATGTACTAAAACTGTGTTTCAAAAAAAAAGGGAAAAAAAAAATGGTCCAGAGCAAGAATCGAACCATACATTTCTGGAAATCATTTTCATCTTATATTTGACTTTGTTGTAAGTCTACTAAAACTGTTTTTAAAAAAAAAAAAAAGACTTATCCAGAGCAAGGATCGAACCACAAACTTTTGAAAATCAATTTCGAAATTTGACACAAATCTATACAGAACTTGCGCCCCAGAGAAAATTTTCAAGTAAGATAAGATACCAGGAACATGAAAAAAAAATTTTAAAAATTCTATCTGTCAAAAAATTTTGACATTTATTTTTTGACATTTGACATTTTTTTATATCTATTTAATGATACTGATGATCTTGTATATGTTTTTTTACAATTATTTAATAAAGGGACAAAAATTTTGCCAATAAAAGCCACAAATAACATTGAACAGAGTTACAATTTAGGATACAGCATCCTTGTTTCCTCTTTTAATAGCCTATAGCAAAAAAACCTGGAAAATTATTTTTCCAACAGAAATAAATAGAGTCAAAGTGCAAACTTTAAACCCTCATAACTTAGAAATTTTTATAGATAAATTTTTTTTAACATTTTTTCCATGTTCCTGGTATCTTATCTTATATGGCATTCTTCTCTGGGGCGCGAGTTCTGGCGCACCCTGTATACGACATTGTTTATTACGAATACACTGCTTGTGAGTCTACTAAAACTGTTTTTCTAAAAAAAATCAAACAAAAATTAATTTATAGAAAAAATTTTTTTAACATTTTTTCCATGTTCCTGGTATCTCACTTTATATGGTATTTTTCTCTGGGGCGCGAGTTCTGGCGCACCCTGTATGTGTACTTACTAAAACTGTTTTTCGAAAAAAAAAGCGAAAACTAAAAAATTGATCGAACCAAAAACTTTTGAAAATCATTTCGAACTTTTACACAATTTTACATGCGACATTATTTATTAGGAATATACTGTTTGTGAGTACTAAAACTGTGTTTTTCGAAAAAAACACGATTTAATGCAAAAAAATCTAAAAAATAGATCATTCGCTGTTTGTCATCGTCAGATCGCTCGTGTTTACAATAACCGCTTCCTCTCGACTCTCGTCCCTCTTTTGAATACAAAATAGAATGCAAAGCGAAAGAGAGTGTGAACAACCTGTCACGCGACCATCAGACAACAAAAATCCACGCTCTATTAAAACGCAACCAAAACATCGCCGGAAACCCAACAATACCACCCCATCGAACGCTGTATAAAAATCGAGCACGAGCAAACAAACTTTGCATCATTATCGCTTCCTGAAAGGAAGAAGAGATTTCAACAAATGTCAACACATGTGCGCAAATTGGAGCGTTAAGACCGTTTTTCCGAAATTTTATTACACAGACCAAACAGATGGTGAGGGTCAACGGCCAACGGCCGTTTTTAATAAGGGTAATTAAAGGCCGCAGACAATTGAAAATATGTGATGACGGAGGACTAACACCTGACCTTAGAGTGTAAACAAAGTATGGAAAATTTTCATTTATGACACGTACGACAATGATAAATATTTATCGTTGCTTGTGTGGACGTTTTAAGGTAAGTGGAGTAAATTCCAGGACTTCTTGAGGCTCGTGGCGGCCTTCGGTGACATATGGGCGACGAGGAGCTCAATATAAGGTCAAATGTGTTCAATTAATTGGTTGCTGGTGATGTACAAGAACTGAAAGCGACAATATTTACAAACAAGATTTAATTGAAGAAAGGCGAAGAATGTTTTTTTCATTTTGTATAATTAATTATCCATGACGGGTCATAATAAATCACCCTGTATGCGTTTTTCGGTGCTGGGAACCACTTGTCAAAATTTTTTCAGCACCGCAGTGACCCTGTCAGGGACCACTTCTTACACTTAAAAAGAATTTTTTTCACTTTGTATGAATTAATTAAGCCAAAGAGTCATTAATAAATCACCCTGTATAAGTTTTCACGTTCCTTGAAATCACTTGTCCAAATTTTCCCGCAATGATTCACTCAGGGACCAATTTTATTATTTAAAAAAGGATATTTTTTTTATTTTTTATTTTGTATAAATTGATTATCATGATGGGTCATTAAAACCACCCTGTATACGTTTTACGTTTCTTGGAACCACTTGTCCAATTCTTTTCGGTGCCGCAGTGATCCTCTCAGGAACCACTTTTATCCATCACTTAAGAAAGGCAAAGAAATTTTTTTTTATTTAGTGTATATTAATTATGCATCGTTAATGACTCGTTAGTCATTAATGAATCACTCTGTATACGTTTTTCCTTTCTTGTAACCCTTGTCCAAATTTTTTCTGTGCCGCAATGATCAACCCAGA